GACGAGACTTACGGTCCGTTCACACCAAAGCGTCAGAGCCTCCAGTTTCTATGTAAAGTCGATGTGGACTATGCGCGTCTAGAGCGTCCTGCGTTTTTGCGGCGCGTCTTGAGCGTTTTGGCATCGACGCTCTAGACGCGCGTCTCCGAGGCGTCAGCGTCAGAAGTTGAAAATGCTGAACTTTTCACGTCAGACGAGCCGCGTCGACCAATCAGGGACGAGTATCCAGTGACGCAACGACGTTATTATCAGGAAGAAAAACCCGAGAACCAGAACGAGAAACACAAACATGAGCGGAGAATAAATATATACACCACAATCACCGAGCCGATCGCGAGGACTACACCAGGACCGGGCGGAGTGCGTCTGGAGCAGCTCGTCCTGGGAGCATAGATTTCAGAAAATAGGATCCATCCTGTTTTTTTAGGCTTTACGTGAGCGTAGGCGCGTGTCCCTGTCAAAATCCACAGAGAGCATGAATCTTTGGTTGTATTTGTGAGTTTACATCAGAACATCGTGTCCTGGGGCAGATCTGTGTCGTGTTAAAAGCCCAGTGTTCATAAGAGCTTTAAAGGTTGTATAGAAGATTTTCCAAGGAAAGAGAAATGCAGCGACTGTTTGTCCTTTTCTAAATGTTGCGCTTCGCTCCTTTTCCCTTCTCTTCTTCTTTCAGTGACGTCAAAAACTGACTTTCTTTTGGGGCGAACTGGTCGTGAATTCTTGTCTGCTATTAAAACAAAATGTGTGCAAACTGAGAGGAAGCTACAGTTCCAAAAAGACGCCAAGAATCGCTAAACATGAACTGCGAAAATAAACGACGCAATCCCAGCGCGTCGGCAAAGCTAGAAATGTAAGGAGTTTGATTGACAACCTAACAGCCAGTAGATAAATAGGTAGCCTTGTTTTCTATTGGCTGATGTTTGTCTGCCCCCACCACGTCCACAGTTGATGGATTTTCTTTTTTTTTTTTTTCTTTTGGTCATCATAATTACAAGGCTGCTGCTTCTCTATAATCCTATTTTGAACTATCATTGACAATTTGAAAAAAAAAAAAAAAAATCCTCCATACAACCTTTAAAATGTCCTTTTGAAATCGTGGTGTTTGCCGCGGTGAGTCTGTACAGAAGGTAAATACAAGTGTGTTCTGTTAGTTTCACTGTGGACCTGATACAAGCGACTAAACGCCTCAGTCCAGTTTGATCGACTTTTCACTGACAAACACAGAGTCAGTGCTGCGCGTGTTCATCCTGCTGCAGCTTCAGGTGGAGTCGTTCTCGCTTTGACGCGCGGCTGTGGTTTCGCGAGGTTACGCACGTAAACGCTGACGTTTTGGTAATACAGTAATACCGTACACCCCAGTAAAATCCTGAGACGGTATCACGGTATCAAAATTTGGACACCGCCCAACCCAGGTCCACAGGAAAAGAAGAATTTAACTCTTTCCCCCATGAAGACGACATTTGACGACCCCCTGTTTCCTTAATGACGACTTTTGACTCCTCCGCCGTGTCACTAAAGACGAGATTTGACGACCTTTAGAAACGGCTCGGGTTTTCACATTTAAACAGAGACTGTGATCGGTCGGAGCCACTACAACCCACACTAGACTGACCAATAGGATTCAAGGATATGTTTTTGCCGATTTTTTCCGAAGTTAATCGAAATAGTGACGATGGAGCTTCTGGAAAAAACACAACACGAAACACGTGCAATGGAAAGATGGCGGCGCTGCGGCGCACAGTTTTAGAAATAATGAGGAGCGGACGTATTTTATGGATAAGTTTAGAGAAAGTGACTTTTATAGATTTCAAAGTGATGATGTTGAAGTTGATTATAAAGTGGAAAACAGCGACAGCGACGGACTTTCGGGGAGAAGGTGAGAATGCCGCTGATGCGTCTGTGTGGAGTCCTGCGATGTCCAAACAAACTATCTGAGCTTTATACTCGATTATGAACCAAAATTGCCCTGAAATCTGGATGTTGCCCAGGCCAGTCCTTTAAAATATTTCAGTCTTTTTTTCCAAGATGCGACGTTTAACAGAATCACTACAGAAAAAACACTTATGTGGAGCTCTGCACACGAGAAAATAACCAAGATGACAAATACTGGACACACACTGACGGGGAAGAGTTTTATTATTATATTATAATAAGTTAAATGAGTTGAATAAATTAAATAAGTTGAATAAATTAAATAAGTTGAATAAGCTAAATGAGTTGAATAAGTTAAATGGGAAAAAAATGAATCAGGTGCACACAGGTGAACAACAGATAAAAACAGGTGAACACTTGGCTCTACTGTATCTGTTGAAATACTTTGACAAAGTATATTTTTTATTTTTTTATGAATATAGTACTCAGAACATGCAGATATCAGATGCTGAATGTAGTTTTTTGTTTTCGAGTTTGCACCTGACCAGGTAAACTCTGTTTCACCTGTTATACACCTGTAAATGAGTTGAATCACATTTAAACATCCATAAATGAAGAGTTCAGAGTCTGAGGTTTCAGAGATACAAATATGTCTGTGTTACAATTAAGTTCATGAGTGTAAAATGTATTTATAATCACTCATGCTCTATGGGTAGAACTAGTAACACAGGTATGGGTTGTTCCTAGTCGGCGTCCAGGGGGGAAGGAGTTAGAGCCAGGGCCAAAAAAACATAACTTCAGATTTTTCCTGATTAATGTGCAAAAAATGTTGTGACATCCAAGATTTGATGTGACTGATGCGGTGTAGAAGTGTCTGGCAGTGGTCTGTATGAAGGTGCTCCTCACAGCGCTGCCCCGTCCCTCTGTGCAGGTGTGTGGACGGGAGGCTGCGGCGCTACGACCTCCGCATGGGGCAGCTGCACGTGGACTTCATCAGCAGTAACGCTTTTACACTTCATTATTTACTGAACGGTCCTGGATCCTCTTTTCTGTGGGTTCATACTGGTCTTGTGATTTGTTCTCTCGTGTTTCCAGGTCCGATCACGTGCGTGTGCTTCTCTGCGGACGGTCAGTGCACGCTCAGCTCCAGCCTGGACTCCACCCTCAGACTCCTGGACAAGAGCACAGGAGAACTGCTCGGAGAGTGAGGAGCTTATGTCGTTTAGTCTGACGGTGAAAAGTCCCCGTGTCGTTCGTTCAAACGATTTTCAATATAAAACCAAAAATAAGAAAATGGAAAAAGCAACAGTTTTCTTCATTATTTGTCTCCAAAACCAAAATGAAAAAACAGATAATGATTTGATTTTTCAGTTTTTGATTTTGGGTTTAAATGAAAAATGGAAGAAACGGAGAACGACCGTTTCCCGTTTACATGACTTCAGTGACTGTGATGTCGGACTTTTGCACCGTGTACGGACTGAACCAGGACTGATCCAGGTCCGGGACCAGACCAGGACCAGAGCAGGACTGAGACTGGGACCAGGCCGGGACCAGAGCAGACTCCGAGACTCAGCGTCGAGCTCTGGCCCTGCCCTGGGCTCTGAGCCTCCTGTCTGGTCCCGGTCTGGTCCTGGCCTGGATCCCAGGTCTCAGTCCTGGTCTTGGTCTCAGTCCTGGTCTTGGTCTCAGTCCTGGTCTGGTCCCCACCTGGTCTGGTCCTGGTCTGGTCCGGTCCCCTGGTCCCGGTCCTGGTCTCGGTCTCAGTCTTGTCCTCTGGTCCCTGGGTCTGGTTAGTCCTGGTTTAGTCCTGGTTCAGTCCTGGTTCAGTCCTGGTTTCAGTCCTGGGTGGTTCAGTCCTGGTTTCAGTCCTGGTTCAGTCCTGGTTCAGTCCTGGTTCAGTCCTGGTTCAGTCCTGGTTCAGTCCTGGTTCAGTCCTGGTTCAGTCCTGGTTTAGTCCTGGTTTAGTCCTGGTTCAGTCCTGGTTTAGTCCTGGTTCAGTCCTGGGTCCTGGTTCAGTCCTGGTTCAGTCCTGGTTCAGTCCTGGTTTAGTCCTGGTTCAGTTCAGTCCTGTTTAGTCCTGGTTCAGTCCTGGTTCAGTCCTGGTTTAGTCCTGGTTCAGTCCTGGTTCAGTCCTGGTTCAGTCCTGGTTCAGGTTCAGTCCTGGTTTCAGTCCTGGTTTCAGTCCTGGTTCAGTCCTGGTTCAGTCCTGGTTTAGTCCTGGTTCAGTCCTGGTTCAGTCCTGGTTTAGTCCTGGTTTAGTCCTGGTTCAGTCCGGCGTCACAGTCACTGAAGTCACGTAAACGGGAAACAGTCATTATCTGTTTTTTCATTTTGGTTTTGGAGACAAATAATGAAGAAAACTGTTACTTTTTCCATTTTCTTATTTTTGGTTTTATATTGAAAAACAAAAGAACGAACGACACACGGACGGTGAAAGGATGAAGAGCAGAGTTTAGTTTTAAAAAACTCTGTTCTGTGTGTTTCAGGTACAAAGGACACAGGATGAAGGGATATAAACTGGACTGTTGTCTGTCCAGTAAAGACACTCACGTCCTGAGCTGCTCTGAGGACGGACACGTTTACTGCTGGGACCTGGTCGAGGTCAGACTCCGCCCACTTCACTCACCAGAACTGACACTAATGAACCAAATGAACCAAATCAAACGTGGCGACGCCGACAGATGCACTTCAGACTGTCTTAGTGTCGATATGGAGGATTTAGTTTGTGTGAAACGAGCAAAGCCGCTTCTGCGTTTGTGGACAGTAAATCTGAGCTTTTCTCTAAACTAGATTTAACTTTAGTTTGTTCTGCTGTTTTGTGTTTTGCGTTTCCACGATCTCGTTTCTGTTCCAGATTGATAAATGAAAAACGCTTCACACATCAGTCACGCGTGAGTCAGGATATTTTACTTTTAACCCCAAAATTCTCCAGTTAAGACAGTCCTGACCAGAGATGGGCATTCCATGACATTTTCTTAATCGATCGTCGGAAGAATTAACGATCGATTATCGATTAATCATTAACGTTTTTCTATTAAAATGATCATCATTATTATTACTATCTGCACTAATCTGCATAAATTCAACTTTACGACATATAAACATAACGACTCTAGAGCCACATCAGCTGTTTGACATTATAATGTGTTTAAAGGTTGTATGGAGGATTTTTTTTTTGTTTAAAATTGTCATTGAAAGTTTAAAATACCATTACAGAGACGCAGCAGCCTTTTAATTATGACGACCGAAAAAAGAAGAAAGAATGAAAATCTATCAGTTGTGGACGTAGTGAGGCCAGATAAACATCAGCCAATAGAAAACGAGGCTCCCTCTTTTTCTATTGGCTGTTAGGTTGTCAGTCAAACTCCCTACATTTTTAGTGTAACTGAGTCGTCGGCGCTCGGGGATTATGTGGTTTATGCAGCAGTTCTTTGAGGCTTTTTCAAACTGTCGCTTCCTTGCAATTCGCACAAAGTTTGTTGCGATGGCGGACGAGAATCCAAGACCAGTTCGCGGCAAAAGAAAGTCCGAAGGGTCTAAAAACTGACTCGTCGTTTGCTAAAATATTTCTAGGCAGGTCACTTCAACAGTAATTCTGAACATGCACTGGATGTAAACAAATGTGATTTCTAGAGTAAAGAGGCGGGAGGAGGAGATGTTTCTACTGAGGAAGGTGGTGTCGCACTTCCACATTTGAAAAAGGATGGTCACTGTATTTCGCTTCCCTTAAAAAATCCTCTATACAACCTTTAATTCAGTTTTGTTCAACTCTCACAGAAACAAAACTTAAAACCACATCACTAATTTACATAAACTAAGTGAAGATAAAACTCCAGCTCTTGTGTCGCTGATGTGGTTCAACTTGTGTTGGATTAAAAGACATGACTCAGGTGAATACAGGTCAGTGTGACCAGATTTGTGTTTGTCAAAACCAGGACAGCGTACGGGGGGAGGGGGGCGGTACAAGAGGAACTTTAAAATCTCCAGGTGCTCGATGCTGCGTCCATGTTTGTTCAACTTGTGTAAACACAGAGACGCTCGCTGCGGTTGACGTCGTCGTGTCTCCAGTGTCACATGTGGGACACTTTTGGACCGTTTAATGTTCACACTGGAGTCACATACAAGTCACATTTAACTGGAAATGTGAACGACCTCGAAAAAACATCAGATTTTACAAAAAAATCGGAATTGAGCGTTAAGCCCTGCAGTCTGAACGTAGACTAAATGTGCAGAGCTTGTGTGTTAAACATGTGAATGAAACAAAACACAACTCCAGGTGTTTGTGACGAGAAAACAACATTAGATCATAAATCAGGAGACGGTGTAAAGTGTAAAGCGTAATGTGTAAAGTGTAAAGCGTAAAGTGTAAAGCGTAAAGTATAAAGTGTAAAGTATAAAGCGTAAAATGTAAAAAGTGTAAAGCGTAAAATGTAAAGTATAAAGCGTAAAAAAATGTAAAGTGTAAAGTGTAAAGTAAAATGTAAAGTGTAAGTGTAAAGTGTAAAGTGTAAAAAAGCGTAAAGTATAAAGCGTAAAGTGTAAAGTATAAAGCGTAAAATGTAAAGCGTAAAGTGTAAAGTATAAAGCGTAAAGTGTAAAGCGTAAAGTGTAAAGTAAAGCGTAAAGTGTAAAGCGTATAAAGTGTAAAGTAAAGTGTAAAGTAAAGTGTAAAGCGTAAAGTGTAAAGTATAAAGCGTAAAGTGTAAAGTATAAAGCGTAAAGTGTAAAGTGTAAAGTGGGCCCTTTTACTCTTGACCTCTCTCTGTTTCCAGGGTTCGTTGGCGTTAAAACTGCCCGTGGGTAAAGCCGTGGTACAGTCCATGTCGTTCCACCCGTCGCAGTGCCGCCTCCTCACCGCCATGGAGAGGCAGGTCCAGCTCTGGGCCGACCAATCAGAATCCACCGAGGAAAACCTGGACACGGACACGTAGGACGCAGCCCCGACCTCGGATACGCCGAATACTTTTGATTCCTCCGCCCACTGTGTAAAATATTATGACTGTTTATATGTTTTTACTCTTTTTTATTATGTTTTATTGTGACTTGTGAGCTCCTGTGTCCATTGTGGATCAATACAGTTTGTCTAAGTCTAAAATATTTTTGTTTTCACTAATAAACTGTTAAAAAAAATCAAAAATACGATTAAATTTTATACTTTACAACTTTACCAAGGGTCTAAAATATCGATAATCAGACACTTTATCAGAATCAGTCTTGAGTATTGAGTTATTTCTTTGTCTGGAATGTTCCGCAGTTCGGCATTAAACCTTTCCATCTCCACGGAGACCAAACTAGACCAAGTTACAGGTCAGATCTGTGGAGAGGCGACTCCGCTCACAGTCACAATGTCGGTTTTTCAAGGTTTTTTAAGCCGTAAAACCACCTGTAATTGAATAAATAAATGTAAAGTAAGTCTCTTTAAAGTCACACTGTGGAACATTTGCCGCAGCGCAGTGGTGTATATATCCACAGAAACAAGCAGGTGACGGACCCCCAACCGAAAAGTTACAGAGTGCAGCTTTAAGACATTACAGCAGGAGACAAAAAGGACAAAAAAACAACACAAACTAATAAACAAATAAATAAACACAAACACAGAAAGTTTTTTGGTCGTTTTATTTTGATATGATCATAAACGATAAATGTTGTGCTTCTTTATTGTTATTATTAGTTTGTACGACCATAAAAAAATAAAAATAAAATAAAATCCTTACATTTTTCATTCTCATTGTGGTTTATTTTTGTACGATCTTGAACGATAAACTTTTGTGCTTCTTTAACATTTTTAGTTTGTACGACCACAAACGAAAATATATTTGTGCGTTTTATGTGTTTATGTGTTTAAGTCGCACGAGCCAGTCCTGGTTTAGTCCTGGTTTAGTCCTGGTTTAGTCCTGGTTCAGTCCTGGTTCAGTCCTGTTTAGTTCCTGGTTTAGTCCTTTAGTCCTGGTTCAGTCCTGGTTCAGTCCTGGTTTATCCTGGTTTAGTCCTGGTTTAATCCTGGTTTAGTCCTGTTTTAATCCTGGTTTAGTCCTGGTTTAGTCCTGGTTTTAATCCTGGTTTAGTCCTGTTTAATCCTGGTTTAATCCTGGTTTAGTCCTGGTTTAATCCTGGTTTAGTCCTGGTTTAATCCTGGTTTAGTCCTGTTTTAATCCTGGTTTAGTCCTGTTTTAGTCCTGGTTTAGTCCTGTTTTAATCCTGGTTTAGTCCTGGTTTAGTCCTGGTTTAATCCTGGTTTAGTCCTGGTTTAGTCCTGTTTTAATCCTGGTTTAGTCCTGTTTAAATCCTGGTTTAGTCCTGTTTTAATCCTGGTTTAGTCCTGTTTTAGTCCTGGTTTAGTCCTGGTTTCAATCCTGTTTTTAATCCTGGTTTAGTCCTGTTTAGTCCTGTTTTAATCCTGGTTCAGTCCTGGTTTAGTCCTGGTTCAGTCCTGGTTTAGTCCTGGTTCAGTCCTGGTTTATCCTGGTTCAGTCTGGTTTAGTCCTGGTTTAGTCCTGTTTTAGTTCTGGTTTAATCCTGGTTTAGTCCTGTTTTAATCCTGGTTTAGTCCTGGTTCAGTCCTGGTTTAGTCCTGGTTTAGTCCTGGTTTAGTCCTGTTTTAATCTTGGTTTAGTCCTGGTTTTAGACCTGGTTTAATCCTGGTTTAAGTTTCTGGTTTAGTTCTGGTTTAGTTCTGGTTTAGTCCTGTTTTTTAGTCCTGGTTTAGTCCTGTTTTAGTCTTGGTTTAGTCCTGGTTCAGTCAATTTTTTCCATTTTTCATTTAAACACAAAATCAAAAACTGAAAAAAAAAAAACCAAATCATTATCTGTTTTTTTTTTTTTTTTCATTTTGGTTTTGGAGACAAATAATGAAGAAAACCGTTTTTTTTGTTTTTGTTTTTTTTTTCGTTTTCTTATTTTCGGAGCGTTTCACTTGCGGCTCAGAGCTTCGGCGAGCGCGGACACGATGGCGTCTTTGCTGCGCAGGACGTTGTAGCGGGCGACGTCGATCAGCGCGTCGTAGTTTTCCTCGGAGTACGTGAGGTGTGCGGTGGTGAAGGGAGAGTCCGGAGAACTCACGTCCACCCGCCCCAACGCCACCTCCTCGTCCGTCTCACGCCTCACGCCTGAAACACCAAACGGATCCTTTAGACCTGCACCGGGGAGAGACCGGACCCGGGACGGTCCCCGGTCCTGACCCGGTGTCCCCCCCGTCCCTGCAGATTTACACAACACCACTGATTTGTCCAAGTTTTATGAGAGACAAGTCCCTATTTCTGACCAGTTTGCTCTTTCACCTGGTCTCACCTGGTCTCTGGTCTCACTTGGTCTCACTTGGTCTCACCTGGTCTCACCTGGTCTCACCTGGTCTCATCTGGTCTCACCTGGTCTCACCTGGTCTCATCTGGTCTCACCTGGTCTCACCTGGTCTCGCCTGGTCTCTGGTCTCACTTGGTCTTACTTAGTCTCACTTGGTCTCACCTGGTCTCACCTGGTCTCACGTGGTCTCACCTGGTCTCAAGTCTCATCTGGTCTCACTTGGTCTTACTTAGTCTCACTTGGTCTCACCTGGTCTCATCAAGTCTCACCTGGTCTCACCTGGTCTCATCAAGTCTCACCTGGTCTCATCTGGTCTCACCTGGACTTGCCTCTCACTCTCTGGTCTCAGGTCTGGTCTCTGGTCTGGTCTGGTCTGGTCTCTGGTCTGGTCTCTGGTCATGTCTCTGGTCTTTGGTCTGGTCTCTGGTTTCTGGTCAGGTCTCTGGTCTGGTCTCTGGTCTCTGGTCTCTGGTCTGGTCTCTGGTCTGGTCTCTCTGGTCTCTGGTCTGGTCTGGTCTCTGGTCTCTGGTCTGGTCTGGTCTTGGTCTGGTCTCTGGTCTGGTCTCTTGGTCTGGTCTCTGGTCTCTGGTCTCTCTCTGGGTCTTGGTCTGGTCTGGTCTGGTCTCTGGTCTTCTGGTCTCTGGTCTCTGGTCTCTGGTCTCTGGTCTCTGGTCTCTGGTCTCTGGTCTCTGGTCTCTGGTCTCAGGTCTGGTCTCTGGTCTGGTCTCTGGTCTCTGGTCTCTGGTCTCTGGTCTCTGGTCTGGTCTCTGGTCTCTGGTCTCTGGTCTCTGGTCTCTGGTCTGGTCTCTGGTCTCTGGTCTGGTCTCTG